GCGTCCGAGTAGGTTTAAAAAATGCCGTGCAAGCCCATGATAAACCTCAAGCGTAGCATCGTAAGATGGACAATAAGTGAATTTCATAGGATTTGTAGCATTCACAAAGACCAGTATGTCATGGACGAAGATCGTTGTCTGGGGGTGACCGAGGTCACCATACCCGAGCTGAGCAAGGAGCTGGCGAAAAGTGGGCAACGCAACGGGCATTGTGAGGAGTGAAAGTTAATTTTAAGATGCGCCGCTTGAAACACAAGCAAAGGGCTGCGGCGCTTTTTATGCAGCTCGGATTGGGGTATACGCACGACATGGTGGCAATGACAACCGAGAAAAACTGTGGTGGGCTGAAAGCGCCTAGATCTGCCAGTTGCCAACACTGGTCCAACACAATGTGGAAAGGTTGCCTAGATTGTCGCAAGCTCTTTTCGATTAACTAGAGTTACTGCATAAAGAGGCGCAATGTCCCACCGTACAATGGCAAAATAGAGGCCGCTCAGGATACATTGCAATCATGACTCTCGTCAAGCTTTCAGTTGCCTTTGCATGGGCTTATGCCGTCACCAAACTGTAGGGTAACCAGTATCTCTGAATATTGCATTTACTAAAGCCACAAAATGGACTAGACCGGATTGAATCATCTCGCAACCGTCGGTCTTCACGCCAAAGTGACGACTTTCGAACCAAGAGTCGCCGGGGAAGGCGGGGGCGGACTCGCAGAAGATCACACCCTAAGCCTAGGTCTCGGTCGCCGTATGGCTACTGCAGGGCATCTTGTCGTCTAGCTAGTCTATTTACTAGATACACATCAGGCCATTCTCAGCTAGTGTTATAGAAAAAATAATGACATATCAATTTGCCTGCATCTGCGCAAAGCCCAACATCCTTGTAACCGGCCGCCGACTCGCGGCTCATTGGTGAAGCCAGCTGCCCGTCGCCAACGCGTTTGAGAAAATTGGTGCTGCCAGTAACGCTGGCCACATCTTCTAGTACCAGGTACTCATTGCGTATCGTTTACCAGCACCGGATGGCTTTCAAGAGCCGTGTTATTAGTAACTTTTAGTTAGCAAACCACTACTACTGGCAACCGACCGATGAATGTTACCGATAACTCGCTGATACCAGTAGCATTCTGAAGCAAGCTACCAGCACCCTTTGAGTGGTGGTAACCTTGCAAGCGAGGCTACCGGCACCACCTCCTGGATCATACCAGCAACTTCCCTAATTGTTTAAAGCCCATGTGAAAACTTAGGGGATAAGCCCCCGAAAGCGTAGCGCCCCATTACACCTAGGATTACCGTGCATGTCCGCTGTTCCACCCGTAACGGTCAACCGGCGTCGAGTTGCGCCCACGCTCACCGCCAGGACGAGATCAAATCGCCTCTCCATGCAATTCCTAATTTCTTAGAGAGAATTTGTATCTTATTACGAAATTGCAATTTTACTAATCTAAGCAGGGTCTTCTCACAGCCATTGCGAGACCGAAATATTAGCAATCTTCCAATGCCGGAAGCCTGCAGGTGTGCTAAGCGCTCAAAAACTAACTGCTCAATGCTGTTTGTCGAATTATGAGGAATAAGAAATGTGGTCGGTTGAAGACAGCCGCTGTGACTAAAGATAGTGGTGCTCTCGCGCCCTCAGCTAGCGCTTTGAGATGGCCCAGCCCAGTATGACCAGAACTAGATTTAGTACCAGACTGTTGAGCAAGAGAGGCATCAAGGCATTCAGCTGCGAAACACGTACAAACGTGAGATCAAGTCGAATGATAAACCTGCTCTTTTTATAAGACATATCAGAGCATGTAACTATTTAAAGGTGCTAAGGCTCAAGTGAGAGGGCTATTTTTTTTTTTTTTTCAGCATCTCGACCATCTTCTGTACCAACCCCACACATCTAGAACACTGCCAAACTCTTTTTCCACCTTCCCTCAAGATGTCTTTCGCAGAAAAATCTACAGCCCTTCAAAACGTCATGAAAAATCTCGATATAGGAGATGCCTGTGTCTTGAGAAAAGCCTTTACCTACAGCTCGATACTCAAACAGTGCTACGAGTCGCGAGCTGATCCCGTTGGGTATTTGTCGCGAACGTTCCGGTACCCATTGACATTATTGTCCGCCATGTTTGATTCGGGCTGTGTTATCACTGGTCCGCGCGCTTTGGGGTTCTTTCTCCCGTCGTCAACAAGTGAAGACTCCGTATGGACTTTCTTCGTTCCCGGATACAAGGAATCAGTTTTAGACATGGTCAATGTGTTGGAAATTTGCGGGGTCTCGTGGCAGCTTGATGCAGCTGAAGTGGCAAGATCGCTTCGCCCACGTGGAACGGCCTCCATCTCAAGTGCGGATCTCGAGTGTCTCAACTCAAGGGCAGAATCCCTTGAACCAGCTGCAGCGGAAAATTTGCTCGGAACAGCGCCCTACGGCAGATTCAAGGCATACAAGGAGATGAACTGCGGCAACAGGCTCAATTCGGACGCCTGCCAGTTATCTGATCTGGAAAAGCCGACCTTGGGCGTTGCTTCAGAAGAGTCAGCTTTTCCGCCTAGTCAGGACACAAGCAGCGCGAGAGAAGCACTCAATGTTCTTCAAGGATACATACAAACCAGCTCAGGGTCTCAGGGCGTCGAACTAATTATCGGCTGTTCTTATTCAGGCATCAACAGCTGCATGAGCTTTATCAAAGGCTTTTACGCCAGCCATGTCCAGTGCTTCATCAGTGGATGGTGCGCGGGCCACATGTACTACACCCAGTGTAAGGACAAACACTCATCTATGTGGAGACCATGGCCGGGCCAGAAATACAGGAACGCCCACCTTGATGTGAAGAAATACAGACATCAAGGGTTTACTTTCCATCGGGCCAAACGTGGAGGGCCGGTTACGCGATCACTCAGAGACTCCCAGTCCTTCCTGCTTGATTATGGGGCCCTGTATCGGTCCTTCATTCGGCCATCGCACCACGCACTGCTTGACGCCTGGCTGGCAGAAAGACGAGATAATATTGATGGAATAACCTGGACAGAATTTGACGGTCGCATTTTCTCAGTACATGATACATTCGAGTCTTGTTATCGACTGTCCAGAATGACATTCGCCTCTCATAGCGTAGATCTTCCGCTAAACAGGCTCCGGCGCCTTAGCAACCTCGTTGCGTTGAACTTGACAGAGCCGGATGCGCTGAGAGCCGAGTCGTTCCGGAGCTCGATTGGTCCGCCTGCAATTGGCCAGAAATGGCAACTTGGCGCTCTGGCTCGAACTGGAAAGGTGTTTAACAACCTTCGCGACGCCACACCCTGGTCCTGGGCCTTGTAAGCTATAGAATGATTAATAGATTGCCACTTGAGTTTGTAATGCATTTGCATGCGTCGTTATTAATGTGATGTGATCGAAGCACTCGAGTTGGGGAGTCCTTCAGCCAGCCGCTGGGTGCATAAACGAGGAGCAAGTACCTAGGTAGGTAACAGCTAGGCAACTCTATCACAGTTTGTCTCCACTTTAAAATCAAGCACCCCAGCAGCAAAGTTTCCCAACAGCACTTGTTGTGCCGTGTTACCCCCCAACCCATGTTCACCAGAGTAACCTATTTGGAAAAATTTCACCCTTGTCTCCACCCTTTCGTGGATTATGGGCGCCTAGCTTCATGCCGTCCGTAGGAATCACAATACTGGGCGGGTGTTGTATCGGCGAAAATAGCGGGGTTTCGGGGTTCATCACAAAAAAAAAAGCCGGGGCATCACCTTCTCTTTGCCCCGATATGGGGCCGTCCGGAAACTGAAGCCGACGGAGCCCATCGGCCGATCAAAGATAACGCCGGTTCCATAAATATAAATACAGTATGTAATGCCTTGTGAATAGGGAAGCCATACAATGCAAAGTCACACCTCACCTCATTCTACGATGGATCATTCAGAAGCTCAGAGTCATGGTGTCAAAGCACCACTCACATCCCTACAAGAGCGCAATGCGCTGGGCTCAGAGATCATGCATTTACGCTCCATAACGCAGTATGAAACACGGCTGTTTAATTTGACAAGAGAGAATTGCAGATTGCAGACTGAAATTCAGCATTTGCATTACGTCAGGAGTTTCGAGAAACAAAATGCTGACAAGCAGATAAAAAAGCTGTCTGCCGAACTTCTTGCTTTGAAGCACCTGGTGAGTGTCCATTCACTACGTGATTGCGTACGAGGGAGACGAAACTTACTGTTATACCTAGAAACCTCTGGGTACGCCTCGACGTATTGTCAAAGTGCGAAACCGACAAAATCTCCAGCACGGAGATTCGGCCGGGCTTGGGGAAACTGAATCAGATAATACGCTGAATGTAGATAGTACCTATTAGAGCGGTACCATCAGTTAGATAGTTTAAGAGCGCCCCAGAGGGTGTAACAACCAATCCAATTCAGTGCCCAAATGCAGTCATGTGATGTGCCCTGCGCGATTTATGGCATAAACATGCCTTGCTGCTCTGAAAGAGGATACGGTCATATGCACCTAGGCGCCAATAAAGTCCCGGGCGGTATCTGGGGAGACTAAAACCACGTTGGAGGAGCCACACAGGATAAACCGAGGATGAATGAGGAAAGCCGGCGTTTATGACCTGGGCTTATATAAGTCCCGACCTCCTCTTCTACGCCTCAGACAACTTCCTGTCTCCCTAAGTTCCTCTTGCCACTTAAGACATATTCATCAAATTAAAGAAACCTTAGCATTCAGTTCTGCCTAGACGCCATCATGAAAAACAGTCGGCCTCTCGTAAGCGTCAGGCTGGTGTTCTCCTCGCATAGCTTGTACTGATCTTCATGCATAGTCAACGAAGTGTCCAGAGTGGATCTTGACCGAAGATTCGTTCTCGCTCATGTTATCGATGCGCTTACTTGGGGGGTCTCTGCCGGTGTCTCTATTTACTACACGGTCCGCGCACCCCGAGATGGTCCCACCATCGGGGCGCGCATTTGGGACCAGAATTTTCAGTATGAGACGGGCCTGACCATTGTCCAAACATGGTCATTGCCTACTGGTTAGTATCGAGATCAAACAGACTGATCCGCAGCTAAATCACGTATTAGGGTAGGAATGCATGTTGCGCTCTTTGTGCACATGCTGGCCAATATTTTCGCGGCCTCTAACGACATCAGCTACATCACAATCAGCAATCACTTCAGCATCAACAATTTACTTCACGTTGTTTTTCTGGTCTTGTTTGTACGCTCTGCCTTTGGCTGGGCCGAGTGTATCTTGATTCTCAATTTCGTCAACCTCTCTGTGCTTTACTTTAAGCATAGCAAGCTTTCACACTTCACTCGCATTTCAATTATCTGCGGCCCTCTTGCCTGGATTTTTATTGCCATCTTTTGGAACTGGGCAATTGCCGCAACAGCCGGAATCGGCTACAACGATACTATCGAGGGCTTTGATCTCTTTTTCGTCTGGGCAATTCTCGGGTATGGAGTGTTTTCCCTCCTTGTCTTCCAAGTAAGTTGAACTCCCATAACTAGAACATATTTCCAGTTCTGACTCTGCCTATAGGACCTTGCAATGGCTTTCTTGCTGGCGTACCTCTGCGCCAGTATCGCCGTCGCGCAGCATTTTCTCCAACGCAGTGATCGAATGTGGATTCCGCCTGTCGTGATTGCAAGTCTTCTGGTGGTAATGATGTGTGCCGTCGCCGCTCGGTGCCTCTGGAATTTACGAGCGGTACGTCGGAAGAAAGTGAACGAGTCTGTGGACGCTGAATTCGATGAGCGTAAGGAATCATGCTAAGCTCTCATTGATGTATGGTTTACGCTACAGTCCACAGGTGGAATGGGTTCGATCTCGACGCAAGATTCTGATAATTCGAATCGGACTTTCTGATAGCATACTTAGCCGTCAAGGGTGATCTAAGTACAATGACACAACTAAGCTAATGGATATCCGAGCTATAACTTTCAACTTCCCTAAAACAGAAACCCTATTCAAATTAGCTATCTCAGAGAAACTAGTTGGACATTTGAGCATTGAGTTTTATTTTTGTCTTTCTAATGCTCTTCGTTCCTCGACCATTTTGCGCCAAACTATCTCTCTTCCTTGCAGAACATCCCATTCGAAGTAATACATTCTCTCAGTTCCCGGTAATCACATTGTAGTGTAAGGGAACGGCCCCACATCAGGACTTACATAGCTCGAGTCTGAACTTCCTTGGGAAGCTCTTACTTTCCTTGTGAACAATCGCTTTATCCAAGTCGCACTTGACCTCGCTCGTGCCCTTGTACCGTCACATGTAGGTGGTTAGCTGATAACGCATTTATAGGTAGAGAGAAGGATTTACCTTTTGTGCCCATCGCTCCTTCATGGAGTTCGAGTTAGTAGAGTCCGTGCCATATGTAGCACACTACCATGTTGCCCAGCAAAGATATGTCTGAATCGTCAGTCGCAAGCTTGACAGTTGCCACCACGACAAAGTTGTTATCACAATATTTGTCAACCTAATCCGCCTCTTATGTTTCGTAGCACGTGTGTAATTTTATTCTTCTATCTATCGTTCGTAGAATGTTCACGATATGTGAGTTCAATCAGTGGCTTGACAATACACTGAGTATAAAATCGCGCCTATCCCCGCAGTTTGCATTTGCAAGACGGTGGCAAAATCCATGACCCAGTTCGCCTGACCCAGAATCTGAGATTTTTTTTTGCGTTTCCGATAATATCGCGGCAGAGTTCCGAGAAATTTGCTCAAAACTGGTCGATGCCGATTGTGTCGGATAATGCCTCTGTAGACTGAAGTCGCAAAGCTTGGTGTAATGACTGGTTGTCATAGTGTCGGCTATCATGACTAAACTTAGCCGAAAGTTAAATTCGGACGAAAGGATGTTTTTTGGTATTAAGCAGAGGGCTGCAGACTCTATCTGCAGCACGACCACGAACAATAATAATTTTTGTAAAACAAGCTTAGTTAACAATGAGTCTCATAACGTGACAATAGTGGATTCACCATGCGTTGGGAACAGGCGAAGTTTGGCCCAGAATTACTGACCCACAGCAGCGATGCAAATTGGACCATGGAGTGCAATCTGTCACGTTATGAGACTCATGTTAACTAAGCTTCTTGATAAAATCATTCTTCTTGTTGATGCGAGTGCTGCAGACTCCGTCCAGCCCTCTGCTTAATACCAAAAAACATCCTTTCGTCCGAATTTAACTTTCGGCTAAGTTTAGTCATGATAGCCGACACTATGACAACCAGTCATTACACCAAGCTTTGCGACTTCAGTCTACAGAGGCATTATCCGACACAATCGGCCGTGGCCGGCCAACTTCAACATCGCAGTCAGCATCGTCTGGAAGTTAATCGTGCCCAAAATTGAAGGACGCAAGGCTGAGAGCAGGAAGATGTCGTTGCAGCAATATTAAGGAGCTACTGGATTGTGTCTGAGTCCGAGTCGTGCCTTGAGATCCAAGAAGTTGTATTCCAGCCAGTGCATGGTCAGCCGCCTTTCAATTTAGCGAATAGCCAGTTGTTGCTCGCCACTCTTTGTCAATTCCTTATATGAGCAAATTTGAGCTCTAGGCAAACACCTAAAAGAAGCTAGTGGTGGATGTCATGCACTCTGGCTACAACATGTTCAAATTGTGTTACATCTTGTCGTTATGCCCCGGCATATCCATGGTCCAATCTGTCGGTTTGTGGTCGATTTTCCATCACCCTCTGGTGCGGCACTTTCTTCCTCCGAGCTCCACCCCCCGCTAATCCATTCATGCTCTCTGATAGCTCGTTCGGCGACGGGAAACCCGTCCGCTTCGCGAAGCCACTTAAACATGTTTCGCGTCATAGACTCTGAACAGTCCTTGTCACGGTCAAGGTTGTCATAGTGAATGGTAGTATGGCCAGCAACAGCATCATCTACCTTCGAGCTGGGTGTAAAAGAGCTTTCAATTGGGTCTTGGGCAATCTTAGTGTTGTTCCTACAGTTCCATGCCCAACCGGCATATCTTAAGCCGTGATAGCCGGGGCAGGAGACGTGCATTTGCACCTCGAGAATGCAGTCTTTAAGGGCAATGGAGCCAAATGGCGTGAACGGGACGAGAGGGGGATTGCTGTGATGGTCAGCCTGCGATAGGAACATTAATCGAGCCTCGTCCGACCGCTGCACCGTTGTCGCATTTGAAGCAGTGCGCGACACAGGTTTCTGGATGAAAGAAACATAGCTGTTTGTCCAGGCCGCAGAATGTAGATCAATCTGAAACGCAACAGGGCGAGCCCATTTCATGATGTAGTGCTGGACGTTCATAAGTATGCCCCCTAACCACAGAAAATTCAAGTTGGGAGCTCGGCACATAAGCATTTGCGCCAGAATATGCGGCTCTTTGGCGACTTGTGTGTCAAGAATTGCAAAAGCGCCTTGAATCCAAGCGCCACAGACATTGCACGGGATGTCCGGTTCAATAAACGTGCTGCACAAGAGCGAGATTACTCCTGTAGTATTGCAGCTAAGGGCGAGCAATCTATCCAACTGACAGTTGTTGCTCCCCCACGGCGGAAGGTACTGTTCCACGGAAGGTTTCGACCGTTGCATGCGGGGAAGATGCATACGGGGCCAGCGAACCTGCTTCGAAATGCGGTGGCGTGTCGGCAGCAGGAGTGCGGCAGCAAATGCCGCTCGACTTTGGTTCTGAAGTCCATGGTAGATTGCGTAGTCAAGGACGTAAGCCATTGCAGTGGAGAAAGATGCCGAAAAATGCCACTCCAGAGGCGAGGGTACGGCGTTATAACGTAGAGCCAACGTCCTGCAAGACTCCAGTTTTACAGACCACGGCGACTTTAAGACCCTGCCGTTGTGAAAAATGCAAGCGCCCCAGCCTTCTTCGGGAGCAAGAATGGCCGCCCACCACCGCGCTGCTTCATATGTAATGTCACCAAGGTCCACGATTAAATCGCCGTCGCCGTTGCGGGCGTTGTCACGGTTGTCGCGCGTAGCCACGCTTTCGGTATATGACATAGTTGATGCCCCGGGAATGATCTCCGTCCATCGTGCAGATAGTACATAGGCCCAGGCGAGGGTGAGAACCAACATATGCTTGGATTCCTCATCGAAGAGATTCGGGCTGTCAATTAGGCGACTCGATTGAAGAGAAATGGCGGTTGGGCAGGCTATCGTAACTCCAAAGGTAAGTCCTATCTGCAAGGAGGGTAGGTTGCAACTGCCATTGCTGGTTTCCCAAGTAGATGTTCCCGTCGCATATAGGACGGTAGAGGAATTGCGATCGAGCTCTAGCTGTGGCGGAAAATAGGGATGCTGGGGAAACGCATTTTCAATGTCTAAGCTGGTTGCATCGAAAGGAGATGTGTTTGAGCTTGAGCAAAGGCTATGCCACAACCGGTAGCCTGCTTCATAATAAAACTTGTATGTTTCGTTGTCTGGTCGAAGGGCATCTGCCATCCTCTAGGTAGTAGGTTGGCAACGATGACTTGAGGGTGCTCAAGGCCATCGAGGAAGTTTGACGTGAAAATGGTGGTGCTACTTTTGGGGTATCCTGTGATCATGCTGAATGGAGGAATGGAGAGCCTTAAATACAGTCTCTAGCTCGCTCGGCCTGATTTATCAGGCAGCAAATCTGTCAACCCAACTAATGGTGTCACCACCGCGTCGCTGCACAGACAATATCGCGCCAGCTGTCTCGATAATAAACTTATTAACGTCATCGGTCCCCATTCACGGTCAAAACCAGCCCTCTATCGACAGCTTCTGATGATATTGCCACCGTTAATACCGCCGTAAGCGACCGTGTGGGCAGAGTAATGGTTCAATCACGTTGTCTTGAGACCTGCTCATTGTCTTCCCGCGCAAGCTGCTTGTCAGACAATTGAGGGTCACAAAGGATCGAGTATAATGGCGCCGTATGAGAATTATCTGAAGAACAAATGAAAGATAGAAATGAAGGCGGTATTTATCTTGTGAAGGAACCATGTCTGATACAATCCTAAGACTAGGAGGAGTCGTTGCTGATACCTACAATGCCGCGTCGCGGCATCGTAAGAAGCAACGACTTACCCCATTTTGAGGTTCTGATATCTGACACTGCTTGATGGCTTTCCCAACAGCCTACTAATCTTGTTATTGCATTACTAGCCGACAAATCTTGCTCGTGACCGGCAATACATCTGTTACCTCCCAGAAAACTGATAGACCAACTCAGTACTCTACACCGTATTGTACGATGACAAGATTGCCTTCATCATCCTTAGCGATGACAGGACAGCTACTATAGTCCACATCCTTGCTCTCCCGTCCATGCTCAGGACACGGCCTGCAAACTACCCATCCGGTCCAATTCTCGTCAACAGTGCCATCCATATGGATAAGGGTGTGAACTGTGCTGCCACAAACTTTGATCTTTCTGCGGCATCGTCGTGCTGCACACGGTTCACTGCGATGAACTTCGTTGAAGTGCCCGCAGGTGCTGCAAGACCCTGATCTGCCAGAGCTAATCATCTTACATCCAGGCAGATACGATGCCTTGGTGAACCTAGGAAAAATTAGGTTTGAGACTAGAACAATATTGTATATAGTATACATACAAATATCTGGGAGCCGAAGGAAGAGTGAAACTGAATAGCTCCTTATTGCGAGGTAGAACGGCGGGTTGTCCGACCTTTTATACAGCAAAGCCCGGTCAAGAAAGACTTGAGATGGCAGCAGACCATCAATTGCAGCAGATATTTGAGCCCCTCTAGCACCTGCATCAGTGGCCTTGTTAGCTAGACAAGCCATTGATCAGAGCAT